CCCAGGAGTAGTAATTGCTAGAGTCTAAAACATGAGTGACCAGCATAACAGTACTTCCATCATTGCTGCCAATATAGTAGGGACTGTTGGGATGAGTTGGATCATGGGGAAGAGCTGCTAAGTTGCTTCCACCAGTTTGTAGTTGATTTTGACCTTGGTTTGGATCGATGTTTGAGGAAGGATTTGTATTTCCAGAATTGGATTCCCCAACTTCAGCCTCCGATACCATATTGGATTTGAAGAATATGAAATTTGTATAGTTGAACGGAGAGCTTTAAGGAGTAATGAAAATTATATTCAATCTGATAATAATAATGTACACTGAGGATGTGTATATATACAGCAAAAAAAAAAATTCCTAACTAATTTACACAAATAAAAGTAGAATAAATCAACTTGTTCAACAAGCAAAATTCTAACTAATTCTTTCTAGACTATTCTTCTGTTCCTTTGCTACAAAATTCACATGGTTTTGCCTCCTGCCAACTTTCCAGCTGAGTTGTCCCTGTAAGTCCACATGGCTTGTTTCTTGCCAACATTGCAGCTGAATCATCCTCAACCTTCAACAAGGAAAGATAAGATTTAGAACTTTAAATTATGTAGATTAGGGAAAATAAAGCTAACAATTTAGTCAATATTTGGTAAAGATTTGAATCTTGATTTTAATCAAAGTCAAAATCAACAATTAATTTTAATCACATATTTTATGGATTTACAATCAATCACATATTTCAACTTTTATCAAAATCTGATTTTAATCCATATCAAACAGGGCTTAGTGTTTGGATTTGCATTAATTAATCGGTATAAATGTTACATTCTAATCGATTCAAGATTAGAGGTGCAAAGGAGGTTGTGTAACATCAGAAGCGAGCCGGATTCCACCTAGCCTGTGGTCGTAACATCATTTTTTTTCAGAATTATTGGTTTCGAGAGCTAGGTCTGACACGATTAACCTCTCCAAATTAGCATGTTTTGTAGGTTAAAAGGATGGATTAATCTCCTCATCCAGGGCCACATGGTTAAAAGGATAAAGGGCTTAAAAGTGGATTGAGTATAACAAAAGTTGATAAATTTGAGCTCGACTGACTGACGTAGGATCTACAGATCAACTTTCTCATTCTGTCTAACCTAATGAAAAAGAGATGAGCATGTGCATGGCGGAGTATGTATATACATGTCTGTTTTAAAGGATATCTTCATTGCTAAGCAAAACATCCCACATAAAATTAATAAATTTGCTGGATGATTATCCAACTCGCAAGAAAACAAAATTGTTGAACCATCTCATTTAAAATTTTAACTAAATTATTTTAAATGTAATACTCAATATAGTTGGAATATTCACATTAATTATTGAATAGACAGTTGTCTTAAGCCTTATATCTATATGGATACGTCGATTGTAAGTAATAATATGGAGCGTCCGTCAAACGTCTAAGTGCTTTTTGGTAAGTATATAAATAGTAGTGAAAGCTCAAGGTCCAATATTGAAACCTCACGAGACCTAAAAAAAATATAGGCATTCGTGGGTTCAATGCAAAAATTGCTAGCTGTGGATATATTCATTTTTCTTCAAAATTTGATGCTAAAATTTTCATAAATAGATAATAATGATACCTCAAATTAGGATAGACAAGCTTTTTATTTGACCAACACAACACATGACGTACTTTTACACTCATCCGAGTCATTTTGCATAAACTTTCTGATTTACCTTAAAGGTAATGAATTCTAACTTAGAAAAGAAATTATAAATAAGCAAAAAAATAAAAAAGCAAAAAAATAAAAATAAAAAAAAATAAAAATAAATAATAATAATAAAATACATCTTTTGGAGGGAATCTGCATTGCATTTCCTGTCTGCTGCTTTTAGGAGAATTAGATAAACCCTACTTTATTAATGCTCCTCTCTATATATATCTGCATGGAAAACTGATATTGTTTCATAGCAGAAGAAGAATTAGAGGCGGGGGGAAACCGGCTCAAAAGCTCGTAAATTGTTTGAAAACATGGCGGACCTGCAAATTGTTCCGGCTGGGAAGAATGTGGAGGCACAATATGTGGAAATGATGGTGCCTCTGTATTCTTATGGCTGTGCCAAGAAAGTGAAGAAATCTTTAGAAAATCTCAAAGGTAATTAAATCACTTAGCTGAGAAGTCTCCGTATCAAATCACTTGATAAAATTTAAAATTGAGAGATGAAGATCGTGTTATTTATTTTAATCTATAATGTGCATGAAATTTTTATAGATGGATGATGATAAGAATTAAAATGATGGCAATTAGATATCCTATCTCATATTAAACTACATTATTGATTTTTTAATGATAATTTTTCAGGTATTTACTCAGTTAATGTGGATTTCCATCAACAAAAAGTAACTGTATGGGGAATTTGTAACAAATACGATTTACTAGACATCGTACGGAGCAGAAGGAAAGAAGCGCGTTTTTGGAATCCAGAAGATAACATAGAAATCCAAGAATCAAATTCTGCACCACCATCGCCGCCGCATTCGTTATATCCAAAGGGCTCTCCGCCACCGTATCTGGCCATCATTAAGGGCAGAGCTTTAAGGTGGAAAGCCAAGGCCATGATCAAGGGTGGATATTCCTCTGGCTTGAAAGCTTTGAAGAAGTCCTTCTTAAGATCATACTCATTCTAAAATCCCCCATTTGAAAAAAATAAAACAATAAAAAATAATATATAATGTGTTGGATTGTGTCGCATTTTATCGTATCGTATTGTGTGTGGACAGTGGTTGATTTTATCGTATCGTATTGTGTGACATTTTATCGTATCGTATCCCCCATCTAACTAATGAGATTTTGCCAAAAAGTTCCCTCGAGCGATGGAGTTTTGGTCATAAGGTCAAGTGTTCAAATCTCATCCCGTATAATATAACATCACGATGATTAAAATATTTGTGGTGTTGTTTCAAGAAAATAAAAATAAAGAATATTAATTTTGTGTTTCCATTTTCTTAAAATCGGTAAGTTGTGGTAGCGAAAAATTTAGTTGCATTAGATTTTTGGAACTTAAATTCATGTAACCTACTCCAAATATTTAAAGACTAAAATATCATTATGAAAATTAACATTTTGAAAAAATAATCTCTTATTTATATAGACCTGTTTTGTTTTTTATACGGATTATTGAAAAAGCAATTTTTGTCAACATATTTTTCTAATTTACTCTCATTTATATTTGTACAATTTCAAAATTAAATGAGAAAATTTCTTCATAATTAGACAAATTAAATAAGGATATGTTAGTAAACAAACAAAACAAAACATTTTCAATAAAAAAACAAAGACTATATAATTGGTATACGAAAATAAAGAAAGTCAACTTATATAAATGGAACATAATGAGTAGTTTGAACATCAACGGGTCAAGAAAGAAGTGTTGGTTGAGTAGTTTGAACATCAACAGGTCAAGAAAAAAGTGTTGGTCACTGAAATTTGTAGAAAATTTTCAAAATGCTCCGCCTCCAAAAAAATTCTCCAACAAAAATGCAAAATTTCACTGACTGCTTATTAAAATCTAATGTTCATGTGCTATGCTTTCAAGGTGATCACACTAATTCCATTTTTTTTTAAAAAAAAAAAAAAAAAGGAGAGAAATTTATCCAACTTAATTTTAGTATTATTTTATTTGATGCCACGGTTCCTTTATAACGTGAATCACTCCTCACCATGTGCAAGTAAATAAAGCCGTAGACTATTTAATCATAATCATATTACGTGTTTGAAAAGTGTAACCAAAGCCGACTTTCAACTGTGGAGGGGAAAATTGTTAGTTAATAAACTAAAAAATGATGGTCATATTAAAAAATTTGCACTTGCAATTATACATATGCGAATTCTAGGAACATGTCGGCAAAACATTTTGTCTCATGTTCAAACACTATTGTCAAATTATTTAGCGTAGATTGAATTCGCTTTGTTGATGCTTATCTTTCATTGAAGACGATTTGATTTAGACCCAGATGTTATGATGTCGAGTTTTGTCGATTTTTTTTCCTCCCAAAACCAAAGTGTATAATATATGTATTCTTGTGTTTTAATCTGAAAAGAAACCTAACAAAAGCTAAGAATTGAATAATATATCGGATAGGATTAGACAAAAAATGGAGAAAAACACCCCTATAATTATTGATCAAGCAAGATTTTTCTTGCACCTTCATTCATTTTGCCAAATTTTCTCTCTTTCCAGCCAGGGAGGCTTGACTTTTCACTTCAAGTAATCACTTTATTTTCATTTTTCTCTTCTTTAACATTTACTTACTTCAAAGTCGGGTTTTGTTCCAAAGAAACAAACTAAAACAGACAAAAAACCACAGAAAGCTACTTTTAATTATTACTAGATACATGAATATATGAATAAATTCATCTTTAATAATTCTAAATTATATAATTCAAGATTCATCAAGTGAAAATTCATTGAATCTAGATTAATATGAATGTTAATTAATTGAGAATTAATAACACAAATTTCATAAACGACAATAATTATATAGTATATATTATATATCGAAAAATGAAAAATAAGGTATTATTGATAGGGGGTTAAAATCGTCAAAAAATAATTCTCCCTTGATGTAATACTTTAATATATTATAGATTATTAATTTTTTTTTTCTTGCTAGACATATTTGAACATTATTTTGTTTCGGAATTATTTATCTCTTGTTTGATAAATCTTTTTAGAAGTTATAAATTAATCAAACTTCATTTTTAACAACACACTTAACTGAATTTACAATTAAAAATATGCTTAACGTCTAAAAAATTGAAGTCGTTCGAAAAAGAAATAGTTATTTATTTAAAATATATCTCCATCCATTCCTACCAAAACTCCCATTATCCGTAACACGTGGTATTGATCAAAGTATAAACTCCTGCCAAATTCTCACCCGCTTTCCTATATATAAACTAGTGCCAAATTCTTACCTTTCAAGTTCAGTTTTTTTCTTTTTCCACAAGAGAGCAAAAGATGATAAAGTTTGGTATGATGGTGGAATTATTGGAAGAATACAGTTTGGTAATGGCAAGAATGAGAGATCAATTGCATTTTCAGTTTCTGAGGACTCTTCGTGCTGCTTCAACTTCATCCTCCTTCTCTGATTCTTCTTCATTTCTTGTTTATTTTTAATACAGATTTGTTTCATTCATATATATATGCACGATATTTGGTCATGCTTAAAAAACAACTTTTCCTCATCTCTATATATAATGCTGAGAAAAGATACCAAAAAACTGCTTTTAAACGCGATCAAATTACACAAGATGCTGTAATCTCATATTCTTTTGTATATATTTTGAAGATTTAGTTTTCAGTCATTTGCTTGTATAAAACATGTAATTCTTATTCCGTTTTTTGTACAATCAGCAAAGGATTAAGGATTCAGATGATTGAATTAATTCAAAGATTTCTTTTTTTATATTGTAGAAATACTGAAAATATGGTGTTTTGATATATTATTAGGAAGTGTATTTTATATTTGTTTTAATATGGTATTGATCAAATTTCGGCATGTGGTTTAGTAAGGATTTCATTCAAAGATATCTTAGATTTCAATATTGAATTGTACAATTTTAGAAAAACACGCTAGAAAGGAAAAAATATATCGAAATTAAACTAACAAAAAACGCAATGTTGATTCTCATCCAAATGATTAAATACCAAGTCGATATCCAACTTCAAAAGTAGCATCGATCCTCAATGTATTGTTATAGTAAGTCCTAAAACTAGAAACTATTAAATCTTCGTTAAAATTTCGTATGGTCTTTAAATGTTAACTTTGTTAAATTATATTTTATATTCCAATTTGAATTGTAGTCTAAAAATGGAAGTAATTTAGTTTTTCAGGAGGATCACGAGAGTGTGCTTGATTGCCAATATTTTTTTTTTTTTTATAGAAAATGTGTTTTTCCACCTAAATTCTTACTTTTATGCTGTTTAACTGACTTTTTTTCCATGGAAAAAAATTTCCTACTTTTAGAGTAGAATATATTTTTCTCAAAATCAAGGAAAATATATTTTTTTAAGGAGAGTAGAATTTTATTTTCCATAAAATTCACCCTCTCTTTCTCTCTCTCATCTACCCACCAATACAATTATAATATTTTCTGGGTTAAAAATTATATCAATCAAATACATTTAATTGACAATTTCTATGCAAATAAGTTTTAGACAATTGAGTTACTTAAAATTTAAACTGTTTCAGTGACCATAAAAAGTGGAGGACTAACTAGCTATTCAAAGAGTATAATGCTGGAAATCATGCGTTTCTTCAATTAAATGTAAAAATGAAAGATAAATTAAAATTAATATAACTCGATATGATTATGAAACATCTAATCATATTGACTCTTTTTAATAAATGTAACAATGTTCAAACAAATTAATAAAAAAGAATTAATCTACTTGATGAGGCTATGAAACATCTAATCACATCGACTCTTCAAATAAATATAACAATTATCAAACAAAATAATAAAATAGCGATGGTAAATTGCATAGGATTCTTGTCAATCGTCCCTATGCATCTGGAGGTGTGTGCCCATTTTCTATCCATCATTATATTTGTTTGGTAATGCAGAAACCATACCAATTATTTTGATGCATTTAATTCAAGATACTTACTAGACCAATTGAAAGCAACATTGCACGTTGAAAAGTACCCAAACCAAATTATTTATTTTGAGATTCAATTTTAAGAATTTAATAACAATTTGAAATTAATTTATATATGTTTGATTTCGCAGCAGTACATATGATCCAGGCCCCGATTTGTTAGTAAATCGAGTGGACCTAGGTTGGTCCACTCATATGGGCCTAACCGATCCGTTAATGATTCAATTTCCATTAAAAATTTAAAACAAGTCATGGCTATGAACATGATGATGTGTTTATAAAACGACAAGAGAATAATAATTATAAGGCAACAACAATTCATTCATTAGTTGATAAGCTAAAATTTGATAAACTAGAAAACTTGATAGATAAATTTTAGATTTATTGCTTACATAAATCTACTATATACACACACAGAAAGAAGGCAGATAAATGTAAAAATAAATAAATAAAAATAAAAAAGGGAATGGAAACTATGAAATTTTCTGCAAAACTACAGAATTTCTTTCTTTCGTGGGAATCAAAGAAATTTGATAATCAAGGATGCCATTGAATTTGATTTTACCACATAAATTTGCCAGTTACCACTCCATCTATGATTTTATATCAGCTTGGTGCTCTCGCCAAACCAAACATTTAATGATACAGACGTTGATAATTATGAGTTGGATACAAAATAATCATTTGTCCCATGTTTTAAATTACCCAAGTAATAGACTTATGGACATTATTAATTTATTGAAGATGAAAAACCTTAATTTTGGGAATACCATGTCCAATCTGAGGAGGGCCAGAATGCATTGTTTAGATGTAATACATTAATTTAATTAGAAAAGAAAAGAAAAGAAAAGTCAAACATGTCATACAAAACAAAACAAAAAAATAAAAAGAATTAAAAACAAAAAATAATAAAAATAAGGAGGCGGTGGATCAATCCACCCAAGTTCCAATCCATTCAATTACACACACAAACGCACAAAACAGACGCTGAGAGAAAAACGGGAGCAGAGGAAAAAAGAAAGAGAAAAGGAAAAAAAATAAGGAAAGGAAGAAAAAATAGGAAAGTTCGCCTATGTTGTTTAAAAATAAGTACTTCC